CCCCCTCTCTCCCTCCCTCTCTCTCTCTCTCTCTCTCTCTGTCCTCTCTCTCTCTCTCTGTCCTCTCTCCCCCTCTCTCCCTCCCTCTCTCTCTCTCTCTCTCTCCTCTCTCTCTCTCTCTCTCTCTCTCTCTCTCTCCACTCTCTCTCTCTTTTTTTGAATCCAGACTCTACCGCCTCACTCGCCCCTCCCCTCAGGAGGAACCTGCCTGCCCTCCTCTCAGGTGGGACCTTACGCCTTTCGCCTGCCTGACTCCATTCGCCACAAGATCTGTGCCAGTCTGGACGCGCCCAGCGCTCGAGGATGTGACTGGAGACTACTGGCCCGCAGTCTGGGCTTCGACAGGTCAGATCTGCCTCACATGTTTCTGTGTGAAAAGGGGGTCACGCTCTGGCTTTAGAGTCCTTTAGGGTTCCTGGTTGCCTCACAGGAGGGAACACAGATCTATAATCTTAGCTTCTTAACATTTGATTGGCTGCCTGAGCTGCCTTCTGAGGATTTTGATTTGAAGATTGAGTTATCACTTTAAAGACCCTTAGAGTATCGCCCAGCGTGCATCAGTCCGCTTTTAATCCCCCCCCCCCCATGGGTCCTTCTTAGAGGTTCAAAGACCTAGATTGAAAAAACCAGGAGAAGTCCATGCAGTCCTTATCTGGTCTACTTTTAAATCTGTTTACCACATTAAAGAAATAAAACTGGAGATTTAGAAAACGTTGTAACATTACGAGATAAAAGTTGTTTAGAGCCTGAAGTTCTGCATTTTCAGAATTAAGTCATACGTTTATGAGAAATTAAAGTCTTAATTTTCAGCTATGCTTAGTCCCCTATGTTATATTAAAGGGGGGGATCCATAAACCTGCCAACAGTTCATTTTCTATCTTTCATCTCGCTTTTCCGCATGTGCAGAGTGCAGCCGTGCACGCTTGAATCATTTGAATCGTTATAAGTTGTCAAGTCGAGGAGACAGAGGAGTTTATGTTGTTGTAGATCGTCTCATGACCATTTTTACTCGGTCTTGTCTCGGTCTCAGACTGGGCGGACTATGGAGCTAGAGCCACAAATGCACAACAAACCCCACTAATGTGTTTGCAGATCGTTCAGACACACATTTGATGTTTACGCATTTGTGGATCTTGCACGGCAGCAGGAGTGTTGCATGTAAAATGACAGCCAATGGAGAGGCCCGCCTCAGTTGTAAGCGATCATTTTTGTGTATTTTCAGGATTTACAGCTGAAAAAGTTAACTGCCGTTAATAAATAAGTAAATATTTCAAAATTGGTCTACATATTTGCAGATTAGTTTACGCATTTGTGGATCTGTGTACGCATATTCAAATAGTTTTGCCACAATGATAGCTCCATACAAGACCACCACGGTCATTTAAAAAATGCTCCTTTCTAAAACAACAAATAACTTCAATCGGTTCATAATTAGAATGCACACAAGATGAGGATTTCTCTGTGATATTTATGGTCTTGGTTTTGGTCTTGACTCGGTCTCGATCCCTAAATGTCTCCGTCTCGGAGCACTCTGGTCTCGGGTATGGTCGTTAGGTTGACTCAAAGTTAGGCTGAGACAGCATTTCCAGCATGGAGACCGCCATCAATGGGACTCCAGCGCCCCCTGCAGGAACAGACGGGTGACATCACTCAGGCTTCAGTCGTTAATATTAACCTGTGGTTTCCTCCTGTTGTTTCATCACCATGTAGAGCGCTCCATTTTGTTCTAATATTGCCACAATGTCCTTCATCGTATCTTAACATTTATTAAATTCTGTTTTTATGAAGCCATTTGTCTTGATGTTTTGAATCATCACTGTTAATATTCTAATAAGGCTCAGGGTTACCAGAGTCATCTCCAGCGTTTAAATTTAGAGATAAAAACTGTGAAAAGAAAGTCTCCTGGTCCTTCTAATCACAACCCCAGAAGCCTGACTTGAATATAAAGTTTGTGAATGGATTCAGTGTTGCGTGTGCAAATCGCTTTATTAAGTTTTAGAAGATGTTTCATCTTGCTAATAAGCTAATGTTGCTCCCTGAAATATGATAGCGAGCTGGGCATTATTTAAGGGACTCTCAAAACAAAGTGGTACCACCATTATTTGCAGAATGCAGTCTCAATGACTCAAACTTTTCCTCGCCCTCTCTCTCTCTCCCTCGCCCTCTCTCCCCCTCTCTCTCTTTCTCTCCTCTCCGCAGGTACTTGAACTACTTTGCAACAAAGCCGAGCCCCACAGGTGTTCTGCTGGACTTGTGGGAAGCTTGTCACCAGGCCGACGCAGACCTGGTCTCTCTGGCGACCGCGCTGGAAGAGATGGGCAAAAGTGAGGTGCTTGTTGTCATGACAACGGATGGGGATTGTTGATTGGTAAAAGGAACAAGAGAGCAAGACAGACTCCTTCTTTTTTTTCTGCACACCGCCGTGATGAAAAATAGGAATATGCACACGACTCGGGCAACACCTCACAAAGCCCACAGAGGCATTTTTGTCTCCTTCACATGAACTGTATTACCTCTGCCTCATCTTCCTTTCACTGCCCCCCCCCCCCCCCCCCCCCAGATCAGCCACTGTAGCCACCAAACCCACCATAAAACCCCGTCCCCTACGTGGCGGGCCATCCTAGGATAACTGCTAACCCCGATTTCCACTCGAAATCCTCCAAAGCAACGTAGCATCTGCGAGATGTGAGAGCAAATTTGAGGGGTAGGAAGGCGTAAAAAAAATGGGTGTTGAGTAATCTGTCAGATGGGATGACGAGCGTCTCTGCGACAGATTGAAAATGACACTATTGTTGTGTATGAATGATACAGCTTTCGGGACAAACAAAAAGGCTCGCGCAGCGTCATGAAAACACAAACGCTAACTCGGGATTAGCCATGTTTCGGTAGCAGCATGAAAGAGCATGACTGAAAAACCATCTCACCACATGGCAGGGGCTTTTTTTTATTTTTCTGTTTTCCAACATCTTCGTTCTGAGTGTGCAGTGAATGACGGGCAGCACCGATCTGTCTGCATCCTCCTCAGGCTACACACACACACACACACACACACACACACACACACACACACACACACACACACACACACACACACACACACACACACACACACTGAAACACTGGTCATTCATCGGCTCTGTAGATGAAAGGCTCCATTTGTCTTTTTCTTTCTGCGTTCGACTGTCCACAAACTGAAAGATGAGGACTTGGAAAACCCTCAGAGTTTGAGGACTGGAGCACTTCGAGGCGAACTGACAAACATAAAAAAAAAAGAAGCTGCCTTTTCTTTGTCGGTCGCCGGATGCATTGAGACGTCCCTCGAAGAATTGGCGGCTAACTAGACCGATTGACTCTTTATATTGTACCAACAAATGCCTCAAAGCCTTGGCATATCATTGCAACTCACAGGGGTGTTTTTCTCTTTCATCTCTCCTCCGCTTTTTCCCTCTATCGCTCCTCCACACTCCTCCGATCTGTCGAGAAGAAACCGCAGGAGCGCTTTCCAGTCGTCCCTTAAAAGAAGAACGCTCTTTAAGTTATTGTCCATATTTGTGGATTGTTTTTTCTTTCTCTCTCTCTGTCATCACTGTTAACGATCACTTAGAAACTGTTGGTTGGACTGCTGAGCTGCTGTGGATTATTTATGATTCCAGTCGAACAGAGGGGTGTGCTAAGAAGCAGGATTAGTTAGAGTTAGGCAGAGAAGAAAAGAGAAGCTGCCTCTGTTCTCAGACGGGCCAGATCCCAAATCTAGAAGGTCGTCAGAGATCTCGATTCTTTCTGATTCCATATGATGTTATAAAACTAAACAATCTCTGTTATTATAAAGATAGTAAAGTCGACTTCTTCATCTAAAACTCGTCCGATGTTTAATGACCTCCGTACTCAATGTTACTGAGTTTGAGTTATGCTAGCATAAGGCCCTGTGTCCACCTAGCGTTTTTCTTTTCAGTTGTCTGAAATGGGTAGAGAGCATTCGCAGCAGAAAGCGGCCTCCCTGGATGAAAAGCGCGGCGCCCAGCATCTTTTTAACAAGCACTGTGCCAAATTTGTGCGACCAATCTCAGCGCTGAAGTTGAAAATCTTTCAACTTTTTCAGAAAGGCGCTGTAGACGTATCGGGCGCTCTTTTCCAAATCTATAATGTTCTCAGTATTTTAACCGCCTACAGATCGTGTCTTGTACCCACATCATCCTCTTTGCTCCTCGTCTGAAAAAATAAACGATTTCAAATATAAAACATGCAGTAAAAAGTAACGGAGCAGTGCCGGTCATACAGCGGCCGTTGTCAACAGACTGTTGTCATGGAGACAGGAAGGACGTGCAATCACTCCCGAGCGCAGACTGCCCTAAAAAAAAAAACCGCTAGGTGGACACGGGGGCTTACATTAGCTTTCTGGCTAACTGCTGAGCCGTAGGGTTCATTCAGCTGAGATGACGAGTCTATCTCCCGTTGCTAGGTCGTATCTATGGCCCGTCCTGTTGACTGGAGTCGTGACATGAACAAGGTTTTTTTTTTTTGCATAAGAACCTCATGGGATTGTAATGACTGTTTATCAGTGATATCAGTCAAACCCTTTCAGGTGTTGCCATGGAAACAAGTTGTTGTTTGTCATATTTGGACGGCAAAACTCATGAAAATATGGATGGATGATCTCATACCTTTTTTCTTTGGCAAGTGAGCGCGGTATAATCGGGATAATGCCCTTGGAGGGGTCAATAATCAGAAGTTAACGGACAACGCGGAGGCCTGAAGCGTCCGACACGCAGCATATTTAAAGTCCTGATAACGAACGCCTCGTCTGGAATTATCCCTTACATGAATCCTTGGCTGCGATACATATAATCATCGAAGCCAAGGATTCTGCAGAGAGCGCCCAATGCCACCTAACCCCCCTCCAGGGTGAACAAATATAAAATATCTAAAAAGAAATACTTCATTTTCTCGCTGATGGTCTCATTTGCTTTTTTTTTTTAGCCCTTATAAAGACAAAAACATTAACTTCAGTCGTTGTCATAGCTGGATGAAAACTCCTCAAAGGAGCTTAAAACCACTTTACTCAAAAATAATCCCCCCCCCCTTTTTGCTTCATAGTACACCCCTCAAGTCAACAGTTGATGATGTCTCGGCTGAGTTTAACAAAGTCCTGTAAATGTGTGTTTGTTAAATTCTGTGTATCAAAATGTAACATGTTGAATCATGATCATGGTGTTTAAATTAAGATCTTTTAGGGACATTGCTTCACTGTAACCGAGGCCCCCCCCCCCCCCCTTCACAAACCAAGATCACAGAGTCAACCCAGCAGCAAGGGGAGCATAAAACTTACCTCGTTACATTATCTCCATGATGTTTTCTCTCCGCGTCCATCACTCCATCCGCTGCCCTCTCTGTGTCACTTTCAAACATTTTAAAAACTAAAGCTGCCTGCTTTGTGGTCAGGGTCCTGAAGCTATTCTGCATTGTCAATATTGTTCTGTCTGTTATTGTTAAGACTGGAATTTGAAATGCTGTCATCTGTGACTTTTTTATTTTTCTCCCTTAAAGCAAAAAAAAAAAGAAGAAAAGTGTTCATATCTTTGAAACCAGAAAAAACCAAAACACAGGCAGTATCCCTCCTCCTCCTCCTCAGCAGTGAGTCATGTCACTGTTTTGTGTGAATGAACTGAAAAACATACTGTGTGTGTGTGTGTGTGTGTGTGTGCGTGTGTGTGTGTGTGTGAGAGAGAGAGCTGAATGAGTGGGCAGGTGGGCGTGCACATGCAGTGTGTGTGTGTGCACTCGAGATCTGTCATCTCTCTTTGTAAGTGCTATGCAAGTACAAAAGGAAAGCGAAGCATTTTGACTTCTTCTTTTGTTTCCTGGCAGAGTAATTCTATTTTTTCAGATCAGGGCATTGACAGGGTTTTGATTTTGTATCCCAAAGTGGTTTTTAAGAGTGGTGGGTGATGGCGGTGTGTGCGTGTGTGGCAAAATCCCCCGTCTGGATCGCAGGAAGTGGATCACTGAACGAGGGGGAAAAAGCACATTTGGGAGAAAACAAAGCAAAGAATGGTGCGACGGCTGCACAAGAGTTGTGACTTCCATCATGAACTCGTGAACCAGCAGGTCTTTGCCCCCGGGAGGAAATCTCTGAACACGAGCAGTTCAGTACTTTGGATCCCTTAAAAAACTTGCAGGACTATTTTCTTGTCACAGAGACTGGCTAGCTGTAGACTACAGTGTTTTATTCGTCCAGATTTTCATGAGTGTTCGTCGGATCTTTTGGGCCACACAGCTCTGGATGATTCATGCTGGGAGCTGGACTGGACTCCGCCTCGCTCCCATCGACGAGAAAAAAAAATATCGCCTTTGTTCAAAAAATACATTTTTACAAAAACAAAAATGGATTCAGTGACATTATTTTATGTCTGTAAAGTACAAATTGTAAATAAACGTCTAGCCTTCTTACCTGTAACTAAATATAATTTTTATGCAATAAATTATATTTCTTAGTTTAACAACACTGTGTGTTTTGTGGTTATTGAATTAAAACTTGCGGTCATCTTTGCAGGGATGTGCCCAGATGGGGTCGCAAGGCACCCACTTGAAATTTGATTGGCCAGTCCAGGTGCCACCAAAAATCCTAAACTATGATTTGCTGTCTTTCATGTCGGGGGCAAGGAGGGATTTAGATTTTCACCTTTCATATTAGAGTCTCTTTGCATAATTTGCAGCTCAAAAAACTCCAGCTGCTGTCTCTTTAAGGCCCCGCTCCCCACGTGCCCACTTTCTTCTGATTGGCCAGTTCTCTGGAAGTCTTCCTGGGGGGCAGAACGCTGCAGGGCTGCCAGGGAGAGCTGCTCTCCAGTGCTAAGAAGAGAGTCTATGTAAGAGGTTTCAAAAGCTTAAAGAGACTTAAAGCCTTTTTTGTGAAATTCTCTGTTTCATATCTAGGAGCTAATGCACGATTTTGCAGAACAAGCCGTTCTCTCATCATCCCTGTAACGCCTCTGTTATTACCTCTAATGGCGGTACAGAGGTGAAATCACTTTCGTCTCCACATTACACCTTGCAGACATTCACATGGAAGATGAGTCATCACAGTTGTGTAAATATGAACAGGCAGTCTGAATAGGGCTATAGAGGAGGCAGAGTTCATGACCTATACTGCAGCCAGTCAGCAGGGGGAGCTCTAAATGTTTTGACTTCACTTGAGGCGAGGTATTCTGCCATCCATTCTTTACAGTCTATGGTTTTTATTTTTAACACACTGCTAGTAGAATAATTAGGATTTCAATTAATGTGGAACATTTTGTTAGAAGTTGAAAATTGTCACTTTTCACAAAACATTTTTGTGTCCATAAAAAAAGTGACCTGAAGTTGTTGGGCGTTTGATTTTTTTCTTAGGGGGGGTGGGGGGTGGGGCGGTTTGGCCTTTATTAGATCGGGCAGCTAAATAGAGACAGGAAATGCTTGGAGGAGAGAGTGGAGGATGACGTGCAGCAAAGAGAAGCATCTGTATGCTGTATGATACCTTCACTTTAGTAGTGAGAGAAGATATGATCTGTGGAGATTGATCAGGTAAATCATGATTGATCATGTACTGTATGTGTATGCACTGCACTCTTCAGGCCCCCCCCTGGAGAAGTCAGCGCCCCAGTTGAGCCATGCACCCCGACGCTCTAAAGGACAAAATCACCATAAAGTGACATCTGTGTTTTTAATCAATTATACCCTATATTCACCTTAAAATATAGAGCCACTCAACCTCATCCCTGTCTTCCTCACACCTCATTGGAAAATTCCCTTTTGGTCCATTTGGCTTTTAAAAGCTTTTAACCGACAGGCTGGATTCCTGAGACACTTATCGTGCCCTTCATGGGTTGACTCTGAGTGTTTAGATTGAGTATTCTCACCTTAGTGTTTTTTTTTTTTTAACGAACACAGGATGTGTCGGGAGTCATCAGATTAGGCTCTAACATTGAGAATAGATACATCCCTGTGAGTCATCCGGGGTGAGCGTGCACTGCAGAATGGTCTTAACAGGCAGGCTCCTGTTTAATTAAAAGCGCTGCTAATTGAGGACTGATGTGCCACCCTTCAGTGCATGACTTAATTGAACCTTTCTTATAATGTGTAAAATTGGCAGCACAGTATAGAAGCTGAGAGCAGCCTCACCTCCACACTGGATGTTATTCTTACTTTGCAGTGAGGAAGTGAGAATCATTCTTTTTGCATGTGGCTCATACGCACGACCCACAGCATTTACAGAACATGTTGTTCTACTACTTCATGAAGTTGTGCTCGGTCTCGAGACCACTTTTTGAAGGTCTCATCTCGGAATCAAAAGTATTTTTACCCGGTCTTGTCTTGGTCTCTTGTCTGGGTGGACTCCAGATTTGAACTCAAGACCATGAGTCTTGGATGAGTGACACGCCCCCTGCACACAAGAAGAGGATTTTTCTGTGATATTTATGGTCTTGGTCTTGACTCGGTCTCGATCCCTAAATGTCTTGGTCTTGTCTCGGTCTCGATCCCTAAATGTCTTGGTCTTGTCTCGGTCTCGATCCCTAAATGTCTTGGTCTTGACTCGGTCTCGATCCCTAAATGTCCTGGTCTTGTCTCGGTCTCGATCCCTAAATGTCTTGGTCTTGACTCGGTCTCGATCCCTAAATGTCCTGGTCTTGTCTCGGTCTCGATCCCTAAATGTCTTGGTCTGGTCTTGTCTCTGTCTCGATCTCTAAATGTCTTGGTCTGGTCTTGATCCCTAAATGTCTTGGTCTGGTCTTGATCCCTAAATGTCTTGGTCTGGTCTTGTCTTTGTCTCGATCCCTAAATGTCTTGGTCTTGTCTCGGTCTCCAGAGGCGCTGCTTGTCAACAGGCAATGTTGGCGACTGCTTGGGGCTCCAGACCATTTCTGTCTCTTTTTAGTCTTTTTAGTGCACCTGAAACTGTGTTTACTGTCGAGTATGCTCCTTGCCCTGAGGGCTGACAAACTTTAAACAAAATCAGTGGCCCCAAAATGTGCAAATTTTGCAACGACCTCCCTTCTGACAGAACTCACTCTCCTCACCCTGCTAAGCGTTGCACCCATTATTGCTGTGAGAAATTACCCGTCTATAGGAGAGAGAAAAGAGGAAGAGCGTCGGGACACTGGCAGACATGATGGTGATGAACGCCAGTTGGAGGCCCCCCCCCCCCCCCCCCAATTAATTTTTTTGTAGGGCCCCAACAGACTCTAGAATCTCCCCTGTCGGTCTCAGAGCTTGCTGGTCTCAGGTATGTCTTGGTCTCGGTTAGCGTGGTTTTGACTACAACACTATCATGAAATCTAAAGTGAGATGTTAAGAGTCTAAGGTTTGCATTACAGGTGTGGAACCCATTCATGAAAATATGAAGTGTCGAGCAGATTCCTGAAGAAAATTGAAGAAAATATGAATCTTATCATGTCCTATAACCAGAATCTGCAGATTGAAAACTATGATGATGCATTTGATAGCAGAAAGACATGACAAACACTTTGGAGTATATTTTTGGCGCAGATTGGTCCTGCACAATTAGCTCTGTTGTTGCCAGGGGGAAACAGCCGTTGAGCAGCTGTGACTTGGGATAAGATCAACATTTGGACAGTGATTCATTCGATAATGATCACTTTACTCCAACAATGTCTGCTCGACAGTCACGCACAGCTGTGAGCCTGCAAGTGATCACTCCAGGCAAAGACACAAACTCACCTGATATCATGTTTGACCTGAGTGTGTAGGGTTTTTATTTTTACAGATGTTTTCACGTCCCACAGGTTCACGGCTGGATGTGTTGTCCTGTAGCGCCCTCTCCTGGACAATTTGGTGAACAACTTTTAGGGTAACACCGAGAGAACATGGCAGATTGTTTTTTAATAAACACAAAATATTTATAATGTGAGAGGTATTTTAAATTATTTGTAGTTAATGGTTGAGAAGCTATTACGTTTCTGTGTGATTAAATCAGAACAATTAATGATATTTTCCAAAAAGCAGATAAATGCAGCATCACATTTATAACTGTGAGAAAAGACAAATTATATCAACAGACATTCACGACAACATATAGTACTAAGACCTCTTAACCAATCAGTAGTCATTTATTTGAGATTTTTCAATTGATTTAAAAAAAAAAAAAAAGATACGGTAGAGACAACTAATAATTATTTATTTAATAAATCAAAAGTTAAAGTGGAAAATAAGTTTTGATTCAGTTTTTTATGGTTTCCGTAGCTTATTTACGTTGTATTTTTTTGTTTTTGTTGTTGTTGTTTTCATTGTTTGAAGAGTCCCAGCGCAAGTGTGAATGTTGTTCCTGCTAGTGGTGCATTCACCTAATCTAACAATAATCGGAAAAACGACTGTCACACTGGGGATATATTTATAATTGCGTTCACAAGTCGTAATAACAACTGGGAAAGTTTTACCTTACATTTCGTAACTGTTGGTTGCAGTCTACATGCTTACATATTTCTGATTATTAAAACAAACAATAACATAAAACAAATATTTTCATAACGTCATTGTAACGAGTAAAAGCTCGCGAACACACCGGAGTTGAACACAGAACTTGAGAACTCCGAGCATCCGAGGAGCACGTGAACGCAGCCTGAACAGTGTTGTCAGCTGACCAGAAATGCAGTTAGCTGAGAAATGTGTCGGTGTAACACTTAAAGAAAACTCAGAAGCAACAACAAGGGAGTCTCCAACCGTGAGGTACGTTTATATTTGATTAAAAAAGACATATGACGCGGGTCTAGTAGTTTAACGTTTGCTACGTTTGTGTGTACTAGCTTCTTAAGTTTACGTGTTTACTGTTAAAAGCGGTGATAACGCTAATTAAATTAACCTTGACAAACCTTTTCTACCTTAAGAGTACAACTATTAATACCTAATAATGGCGTGGCATAATCATTTAGCAATAAATAATGATTAAAGACATTAAAACTTTGTCTTTAACCGTCTGTCTGGAGGTATGTGAGCGGTGTTATGGTTCAAACAGTGACCGTGTTAACTGGTTACCTCCGTGGTTACAACAGACTTTGAAGTGCCTCTTTGTTTATTTTTCAAACTAAAGTGTAAACACTACTTATTATGTACGTCTTTAATGGAAATATAACCAAAAGGAATTCGTTAGGACTCTTAACATCTGCTGTAACTACGACAACAACAAAGAGAGAGTCGCCAGTTAACACGGTGACTCTTTAAACCGTAACACCATGCTGCAGGATTAATCTAAAATGTGAGACCGTGTAATCTCTTTTCCCTGTGTAAGCATCATGTGAATACTGGTTCCTCATTAGTTGCACACATGATGCTGTAAGTTGCAAGGTCAGCTTTGTTCTGTAATGTCAGTCTTCTTTAACCTCCTTAAACAATTTCAGTAATAACACTCATTGTGCTTCTGAAAGCCCTGCTTTTTTTTCTATTTCTGTCAGTAGCAGAAATAGAATTAAAGACACGCATCGTTCACTTTGAGAGGCTGCAGTTTGCAGAACATGCGCAGCTGTAAGTCAGTACAGTGAATCAAATAATCATAGACTTTATTTAGCCTAAAATAGCACTTTCTAAAACCAGGTTACAAAGTGCAACAAGGTAATAACAAAGTGGCTTGACAAGATTAGCAGTAATAATAAAAAGAAGACAATCACAAGATGCATTCCAGAAAGTACACACAGCACTCATTCTGACATACAGAGATCAAAAGTGAGGATTACGTATATCCAAATTAAAAAAAGAAGGGTTTTAAAAGTTTTTTGAAACAGTCTGAAGATTCAACAGATCTCATTGCAGAAGGATTGTATTCAGAGTCTGGGAGCTAAAACAGCAAAGGAGCAATCAGCTGCACTTTTGAGTTTCAAGGTGGTGTAGACGGGAGAATCCGATTTGAAGTGGTGCTGTGGTGTAACAGGGGTTAAAATGTAGTTAAGGGACGCACATATATATGTAATAAGCGTGCGCTCGACTCTGTGGAAAGTGCTGAGTGTCTTTATCTGTTGGAACATTTCACTAAAATAATCACACTTTGTGTGTTTTTGAATTGCAAAGCGGCGACTCCATTCACTTCGGTCAACGCTGTGACGCAGCAGTGAGTTCATAACCACTACACACCTTTACAACATTACGGTTGTCAGCATACACGATTTTTAATTTCAGTAACATTGTAGTAAAAATCAAACATACCGAGTCTGATATCTGTTTCGATATCAGGGCAGCAAAAATACACATCCTAAGCACCCCGTGTTGGGAAACCTCTAGTCCTGCACGCTGCCTAAACTGCAGCGAAACATTGCCGACATGTTTGTTCAGTTTAGACAAGGCTGTCTCTCTGTTTTTGCAGCTTTTGGTAAAAAATATGACTGAAGCTCTATAAGCTTTTGTACTTTATTGATCGTTAAAATAAAGGATATTGTACCAAAAATGTTGGCAACCTAATGCCACATAGCAATGACTCTGAGACTTCCTTTAGAGCTGATTGGAACAGTAAGATAAAGACAAATAGTTCATGCCACACCACGTTCTCTGAAACAATATAGTATGACATTTTTTCCAAGATGTGCTGGCAAAACACAGGACTCATCCCCCCATGATGCACCACAGAACGACACAGGAGGACATTCCTGCCTGTGGCCATCAGACTTTTTAACTCCTCCCTTTGAGAGTCAGACACTCGGACACTGGACTATTAACCTGGACTTATTTATTTAACCTCGAAACTGTGCAATCTGTCGGCAAACAGGTCTAAATTTTGTTCATATTGAGCCTTATCAATACACCATGCAATTGTTTTTTTCACTGCACTTTGTACATAGCTTATTATCGTGTCTTCCTTACATCTTAACTTATTTCTATATTTCCTACTGCTGTTTTGGGTTTAAGTGCAACGGTAACAACTGAATCTCTCCCTGGGATTAATGAAGTATTTCTCATTCTGATTCTGATGAGGTTGTGTTTAAAATATTATCTTTCTGTTGTTATTGATTTAGACATTTTTCGGGTTCCCTGTTTTGTATGAACACATCCAGGAAACAGTTGAATTGTGTGACTCTAAAGGGGAAAACTCGGGGAAATAAATGTGTCCAGAAGTGAATGACAATATTAAATAATACTTCAAACTCTGCAGCATCACAGGATCTGGATTATTGTGCTGATCTCCGCCAGCCGCAGCACCAAAGTCTCCCCAGACAATGGCTTCACAAGAAAACCCTCCGTCTATCCCTTTCTGGACATGAACAAGTAAGCACATTCAGAACTCTGTTATCACAGAAACATTAAACGATTAAACTGATTTATTTAAAGTGTTTTTTCTTCTCTTTCACAGCTCTCTGTTTGACACTTTCTGCCTTTTCTTTCACTGCCTCCCCTTCCCCCTCTCCTCTTTACTTTGTGAGTGTCCTGCTTTCTGTCTGTGAACATGGACGGCACAGAGCAGGTGCAGCCCAGTCTGAACTCGTCCTACGTCCCGTCTGTCGGAAACCACCATGTATCCGAGGACGAGGAGAGCGAGGACACGATCCCCTCTGCCTCCCTCCTCCCCAAACTCTCCTCAGTTCCTCTGGCTGTCCGCTACAGTCCTGAGGACTCGTACTGTTTGGTTTACATCATCTTCTTCCTGATGGGCATCGGCTCGCTGCTGCCCTGGAACTTCTTCATAACAGCCAAACACTACTGGCTCTACAAGCTGAGTAACAACACTAACGAGGGGAGCGACGAGGAGCAGCGCTCACCGCTCAGTGTGAGTGAGAGAGAGTCCCAATCCGATCGCACATAGCTGATGTCAGTTCACAGGAAGGTGCACATTTGTGCCATTCTGCATGCTTATTATAGAACTGTGACCATCCTGTTAGAGATGTGAGGACTCAGTGTCCTCTCACATCTGACAAAAATCAATTACAGCACAGTCAGAAATACCAAAAGGCTCCTCCAGGGTAACTCAGGTGACCATAGAGACAGAGTCAGGTCGAGTAGATCTGCTTTCAATATGCAAAAAAACCCAACAACTCAAACAAAAAAATCAAACAACACCCGTACCTGTTTCAATACCACGGCAACAGCACAATCCAGGACACCAATAACAGGTATTTCCTGTTTATAATTACCCAAAGGAAGCAGGCAAACTCCTGCTCACTGTCTGAATGACACAGGTTTGGTTGGGAATGTTTCAGTGCCTAAAAGTTGCCAGTGTGTTTGTGCTCTCTCTCACACTGGAGATACTTTTATAGAGCATTCAAATAACAGAGATTGTATCATTTAAAAACACGTGGTATGGAGAAGTATCAGAAATGTTGACGACCTCAATCAGTTAAGTCTGTAAATAAAAGATAATAACTGCTGTGATACATACTGTGATATACATTCAATTGATTTTGAATAATGACCATGTTGTACACAGAATTCACTACATCAGCTGTTCTTTACTGTTGAGAACAGCAGCGGCGTAAATCAGAGGCATCAAGTCAGGTCGTCAGAGATCCTAGAAATACATTAAAATATTTGAATCACAGATTTATGGCTTTGGTGTTATTGTTAACTGCTCCATAGGTCAATTGTCTTTTAAAACTGTCATCACAGCTTTGCAGCCGTATCAATTCTGTAACATCTGCATTGATACATGTTTTTGCAAAGAGGATATATTACCATATCGAGTATTAGTGCACAGCCCTAATCTGTACACACATTTAGTAAAAACAAAATAGACAAACGATGCTTCAAATGGTTTGCCAAACTTTGCATCGATTTGTTTTACTGTGACATTTAAAGCCGGATCTGAGTTCACTGAGAAACCAAAGCAAACATCAGGAAGAAGAAAAGGAGGCCGAGTTTCATCTCCTCTCCTTTCACTTCCTCTAACTTTCTGTGAGTTAAGTGAATGCAGATTCTTTTTGGGGGCTTCCAACCAGCATTCATCACCATTATGTTATAAATACTCTGACAGAAAAAAAGAGGAAGGTAAGCTCACTGTTCAGCTCCCAATGAGCAACTTTACTCTAAACAATGAAACGTATCAATCAAAGGATCTTCTTCAGGCGGCCTCTCGAGAAGATCCTTCAGCTTTTACACTTTTTGTCCTGCACCTGTCCTAAATTGCATGCAAGTGTTATTTGCAAAATATAAAGAACAATAAAAACCTTCAGTGACTTTTATTTACACACTGAAGTTTTCACAGGAATGATGCATGCTACACTGAGCAAGTGAGAGCTGTCAGAAGGGCCCCCTTTAGGGAGGTTTCATACTGTCATTGCAAACTTCGCACATTTTGAGCCACTGCTGTGATTTAAAGTTTGTCAGCCCATGGGTCGCCCCTGCTGGCCTGTGGGGCCCACAGCAGTTGCCGGCCTTACCTGGTGACAAGCATCACCTCTGGAGTTTAGGTTGCCAAAATATTGGATACTTTGATACCAAATATAATACAAAGTTTTTGTTTTTTAAATGATCGATAGCATCAAAAATGACCAAAGCTTAAAAGAAACTACAGATCTTCCATCCTACTTTAACCCAAAGCTGCAGGGAGCAAAAGAGAGAGAGAGAGCAGTGGTCCTTTCAAATTCACAGGTTGGTGATAACTGAGTCATTTTGGCGTTTCATAAAGATTCAAAAGTTGCATTTATCTTTCTTAGAAACAGATGAAGAGCAGAGTATTTCACACCGTCTAAATTGCACAAATCTGAAACAATGCCGGTGTATCTTTGCAATCAAGACTGTGCAGGAGTGTCCATGCAATTGTTTGTAATTTAATCAAGACTTCATCCAACACTGGGTGACTAGGATTTCTAGTTTTGTTGCCGTGGTAACAGTTAGAATCAAATCCAAGTTTAACGTTCTGATGTTGTGACCATCGTATTTTTGAGTTGACGATTTTGTGTTCTGAATCAACAGGATTACTTTGAAAGCTACCTGACCATCGCCTCCACGGTGCCCTCTGTGCTGTGTCTGATACTCAACTTCTTTTTAGTGAACAGGTAATCACACACACACACACACACACACACACACACACACACACACACACACACATACACATCTCACATACTCAATCCTCCCCAATTGATTTCCTTATTGAGTCCCACACTGTTCATCTTGTTCCACCTTTGTGAATCACCTCTAAAAGTTAATATATATTGTGCAGCTCATGTCCAGTCTTTGCTCTTTTAGCATGAACAGCAGTCAGTGGGAGTTATTTTCAGCCTTTAGTCGTCTCATAGACAACGAGGCACGAGAGGAAACTCTGTCTGTTCCTGACTGTAACTGTGTTGGCAGGTTGTCTGCACACGTGCGGATCCTGTCGTCTCTTTTTGTGATCCTGGCGGTGTTCATCGTGACCACGGTGCTGGTGAAGGTGGATGTGTCGGACTGCAGGACGGAGTTCTTTATGGGCACGCTGGCCTGTGTGGCGGTCGTCAGCGGAGCCTCAAACCTTTTCTCCGGCAGCGTGTTCGGGATCAGTGGACACTTCCCCATGAGGATTTCACAAGCCCTCATATCAGGTGCAGTCTCCTTCCACTTCAGGGACTGCTCTTTAACGTCAGCTACTAAACTTTTTAATAAGAGAAAATGAACATTTTATCTGTCATTTTATTTGTTAATTATCTGTAAAGGCTCTTTAGACATAACAGGTCCTGTCTTCTCCCAGGCCAGGCCATGGGGGGCACGCTGAGTGCTGTAGCATCAATCGTCGACCTGGCAGTGGCCAAGGATGTGACGGACAGCGCTCTGGCTTACTTCCTGACAGCCGACGTCTTCATCCTGATCTGCATCGTCACATATCTGTTGCTGCCCAGGCTGGCTTACTCAAGGTCAATCGCAGCCTAACAGTTAAACATACTTTACCTTTCAAACATTTTATTTACTTATTTAATTCTATCATTTTCCCTTTTTTTAAATCAACTTCCATGACAATTTGGATTGTAGATATTCTTGTGATAAAGCAGTGTGCATCTGCTGCCGGTTATTTTTAATACTGCCACTAGATGGCGCCAAAGTTCAACAACTTCAGAATAATTCTGTTAGTTATAAATTTACTTTATCTGATTATTTCGTTAGAGCATTTTAAATGTTTTTTTTTTAGCTACTCAATTTGATCAGAAGAAGATCTTGACTTTGAAGACATTTGTTTAAATGTGGTGTATGATATTGAAAGTGAAGCTGTGATTCAAACATGCTGCTGTCATGTTTTCTTCTTTTCAGACACTACATGCTCGCAGCATCAAGCAGCAGTTCGACTGCGATAAACGAAGGGGGGGGAGTGGCGGGCGGCGGAGTCTCCGTCCCCCCGCTCAAACCCATCCTGAGGAAGACGTGGGTGCTCGGCCTGAGCGTCTTCTACGTCTTCTTCGTCTCCATCATGGTGTTCCCCGCCGTTTCCTCTGGGATCCAGTCCGTGCACAAAGACAGCGGCAGCCCCTGGACGACCACTTACTTCGTCCCCCTGACCAGCTTCCTCCTGTACAACGTGGCCGACTTCTGTGGCAGGCAGGCCACCGCTTGGCTGCAGCTCCCCGGTCCCACCAGCAGGGCGCTGCCTGTGCTGGTGCTGTGTCGCTCCGTCATGGTGCCGCTCATCATGTTCTGTAACTACCAGCCGAGAGACAATATCCACACTGTGCTCTTCACCCATGATGTTTACCCTGTGGTCTTTAACTGCCTGCTCGGCCTCTCCAACGGCTACCTGGGCACGCTGCCGATGATCTACGGCCCTAAAGTGGTACCTCGAGAGCTGGCCGAGGCCACAGGAGTGGTCATGTCGTTCTTCCTCACGCTGGGACTGGCTGTGGGGTCGGCCTTCTCTGTTCTCATTGTGCACTGCATCTGACCAGAGAGCGATAACCTTCTCATAAAACAGTGTTACAGGTGGATGGTTACAGATAGCAGCTGGACTGATGAGTCATCGGACCCCCCAGCTGATAAAACAAAAACCAGCAGCAGGAGAGTCGCTCTTCTGCCGTGAGGGAAACGTGCTGCTGATAAGCCTCTTGATTCCAAATTTTTAACCACGAGTCCCTCGACGCTCACATTGACCGTACATTCAGGTGCTGCTCGGGTGCTAAAGGTTCCCACATTGGGGAAGTTGTTCTTCTGACACGTTTTCAGGAGTTTTACCCAAATGTAAGCTGTGAAAACTAAGGTTTTCAATACATTGTGTTTTAAAAGGTTACAATCCAGGAATATGTGCATGCAGACTAACAAGAAATCCATCAAACATTACACTCACCTGCACACCGTCTACATTACACAAATACATCTGCAATGTTTGAAATGTTGTCAATGTATTTGTGCAATTAAGGCGATTTTTTTTTTAATGCAACTTTTGATGATTCAAAACTTTTAAAAGAAAGAAATCACCCAGTATTGGGTGCCTGGTTCTTTCTGTTGCTGCAGTATCAAACAGTTATCACTTTCATTAGATTTGTGCTCGTATCATATTGAAGATTAATATTCTGTTATTGTGACAAACCTTGTGAAAACAACAAAGTTGTTTCTCAGATTAAATTCCAGGTCCAATCATGTTTACAGCAACAAACGGTACAAGACTAAAACCATATTACACATTAAAGGAAGAATGTGTGACTTTTTGATCCAGTAGATGTCGCCCTTGAGCTCCAGCATGAAACCAAAACAAACTTCTGTTAGGCCACGCCTCCTCCATACTGAAGCCTCCGCTCTCCTCCAGAGACACACCTCCAACCCCCCTCCACTTTCATTTGTACAGAGTTTTGAATAAGAACGCACTATATTTAAGCACCATTAAGCGCAATCGGCGGATAAAATTGTCCTTTGCTCGAGCTGCAATCACCTGTGTGCTGTTAATGTTAGCATGCTAATGTTAGCGCTCTTTAGTTAGCTTGTAGCTTCACATTGAGCATTAATTTACACAGAATGAAGGTGATCTAATGACACTTACATGACATTTAATTAATCATTGAGTATGTTCTTCTTCTTCTCTCTAGTTCTTGACTAAAACAGCTTTTATACACAAGGGGAGGAGCCGGCCGTCCCGTCCATGTAAACACGGCTCTGACAACAACACAGCCAGCGGGACTCGAGCTTCTCCCTCATTGTAGACAGTCAGGACTCAGAGAGATTTACACAGGATAGATTTTATGTTGCACATTCTTCCTTTAAATGTGGGGAAAAAAGTTAGATGCAAAACAAGAGCTCTTAAAAAACGATTCTTGGCATCAACATGTTTTCTTTCATGGACCATCTTCCTGCTGAAGAACGTGGTTAAGTATTGTCCTCATCTGACTTCTGCAGAACTTTGACATTCAGGGTTATTCTGGTTTTTTAACAATATGTACGTGAACAATGTGTTTACACTGATAACAGTCTTGATGTGAGGAAGGTGTTCTCTTAAACTAATTATGTAACCAGTGCCGTCATTAAGGGACTGTTGTTTAATCACAAATGTTTATCATACGATTGACATGTTTTAGAAAAACTACATTTTGCACGTTTCGGTTTAAGGGGAGAATGTTTGTGCCAAATAATAGTGAGTGTTGTTTCAGTTCAACTTGAACACAAAGAGGTCAAAGAAGCTCCACGTCCTGCAGGATAGAGCTGAACGACATGTGGTCACTGCTAAGTGTTTCTTTTATTGTAGAACTTTATAAACTGAACATTTACAGTCTTAACTTTTAAGTTTCTGTCATTTATCATAGCAGACTTGGTAAGAGACGTTAATCTAGAACGTTGTATTGAAGGTTGTTTTTAAGATCATAATCTGCAAACTGCATGTAACCGGTCACCTTTTCCAAAATGACAGTTTTGTAGTTTTATTACTGCAAAATAAAAGTTCTCAGCCCGGGCTCGAGTTAGACCTGTGGCTCCTTTCCCGCATCTCAATCCCCACTCTCTCTCTCTCTGTCCTTGATTTTCAACTCTGTCCACTGTCCTGACACTGCAATAAAAGAGTGGATACTGAGGTTCCATGAATCTGTTTCCTGATCTATTAAAGCTCCTGCTCTCTTGTGGACAAAGCAGTACTCATTTTCTCATTGCTGATCTTTTCTTTTGCACATTTCAGAAATATTTTCTGCTAACTAACATGTCAATCACAGTGTTTTAGTACTCAAAATCGGTCTCTGCCTCATTATTCCTCGATCTCAGACTGGGAGGACTTCGGATTTAAATCAAGAGCACCACTGATGGGCTTTTTTTCCACGTTATTGCTGTGATTAGAAGGAAAACACCTTTTTCTAAAGAACAAATAACTTAAATTGATTAAGTTTGATTTGTATCCCCCGGTTACAGCCACAACCTTTCCGGTGTTACGGTGTAAGTGAGTGACAAAGATGATGATTTTTATGGTCTTAGTTTTGACCCTGTCACGATCGCTAAAGGTCTTGGTCTCGGGTTACTGTGATCTTGGTCTTGACTCGGTCTCATCCCTTAATGTCTTGGTCTTCTACTTTGAGCACGCCGGTCTCAAGACTAACTGATTGTCATGTTTCTCTTTGCAGAAAAAGGCATCAGTAAAGATTTACATCCGTTTCATTACAGCAGCTTTAAAATGACCATCCTGTGATCAACAAGGAGACAATCTAGAAGGGTTTGCTGCAGTTTACAGTAGAGTAACAACATGGAACTTCTTGGATTGGGATCATTTTTTATTGTTAAAAATGTACAGATCAACTGACAGTTGGCTCAGGCTTTGAAGCAGACAAACTGGAGATGCTTTCTGTTGGTTAGAAAAGCAGTGATTTACAAACAGTAGTAAGAGTGCAAATGATGCAAGGTGATAGACAGAAGTGCTCTCAGACTAATTACCTCCGTATCTCCTTAAAACTATAACATTTCTTCTGTCTACAAAATATAAATTTGTGTAATGAATCAGAGACTGCTAAAAGAAAAAGCCTGTCATTAACACTCTGAGTCGTCCGCCCTGTTAGCAGTCGGTCCAATCCAGGGAGAAGGCATCAAATAAATCTGGGGGGCTGGTCTGAAGATCCATCAGAACTGGAGCCAGCCGATGCTTAGTCAGCATTATACAACATGTGAAACCACAACCAGCTAGCAAAACAGGCAAACACAACCCAAATGAGGCAAAGCTCATAAATGGCTGAGCGGCTGGAAAATATACACATAATCACTGCTTCCATGGTGCCATCCCCCCCGCCCCCCCCACCTGCATGGAAATAACATAAAGTGTCCAGTCCCTTTCCACCATGACATCTTCACAATATCAAAGTTAATTTACACAAATTGCTGCATCATGTAAGTCCATTAAAAAGAAAAAAACGACAAAATTAAAAGTGGGAAGCAGCACTAGATTTTGTTTTCTTTTAATTCCCTACAGGTCGATGTGTGTGTGTGCTCGTCTTCCTCCTCTTCTATACCCACACGTGGCGTTTGCAGTGAGCCACAGCCTGAAAGACAGAAACAACTGGTTAGACGCCTCTCAGAGGAAACTCATTTTTTTATACAATATTGCTCTGTAAGGGAATCCGTTAACATGGTCATGATTCAAAATCCTCTTCATCATGTTCCTCTAACTCTAACATGAGTCTCTAGTCCGTCTACAAACCCCCCAATGATGAGAAAAGTCCATCCTCTCTGTCTTCTGCCTGCTCCACTTTTCAGAAAATGAGTGCTCAAACAGGCCGTTCTCCCTTCATGACATCACAAAGGGCAGTAGCCCCTCCCCCAGGTGGGTGACACTCCCACAGCTAGGTGTTTGTTCTGCCCTCTGAGTCTGCCTTCTCACCGTAAACAATAGGACATGGAGCGAGAAAGCACCGAGCCCACACAAGCCCTTCCAGAGAGGGGGCGTGGTCACACACAGCTCATTTACATATTTAAAGGTACAGACACAGAAACAGCCTGTTCTGAGCAGGGCTGAAATAGAGGGGTTTATAGACATGATCAAAAACAGGATCAGAGTGGATTTAGAACAAGAAACTTCACACACATGTTTTGGGGAGCTCTGAGACTTATTTACACTGAAGAGGAGGAGGAAGATATGTCACCTTTAAAATAGTTTAATTTGTCATAATTTCCCATATAACCTGTTTCAGATGTAAATATACGACTGAATTACTCACATTGCACCGGGTTGCTGTCTCCATGTTCTTGCACCAGAATGCAGGTCCCCAGCTGCACTGCTCTGTTCCCAGCAGCCTGCGCACAGCTTCTGGGCAGGCTCCCACTTTCTGCAACACACACACAATCACACACACTTTAAGTACTACACAGGGCTGCGTCACGCAAAAGACTGTTAACACCTTTTCTCCCCTCTATATCTAAGGACCCTCCAAACTGACTGCATGTTATATTCTGGATTTTACAGTATATAAGTGTCTTGGTTGTTTCAAGAACTACCTATTCAGGACATTTTTTTTAAAATGAAAACATCTCTAATATTGATCATAGATGTATCGAGTTTACCATGCACACAAAGTCCGGGTCGAGCATCTGCAGCAGCAGCTGGATCAGCATCGGCTCGTACTGTTCCACCATTTGGTCACACTGTTAGCACAGACACAGACGGATGAGTGTGAGGTTTTTATACGAGGAAAGATTAAAGTTCCAGAATAAAAAAAAAGGACGAAAGATGAAACTACACACCTCGGTCTGGAAAGCATCAGGCAGGAAGCTGCACACCTTCCTCACAGCCTCTTCGATCTGCTCCTCTGTAGCATTCTTCTCCAGCATGCCGTCGATGTAGTTGACTGCCAACTTGCACACGTCGCAGAAGCCGCCGGCCTTAAAGCGAACCTGGTCGAGTGCAGCTGAAGAGATGAGGGTGATTTAATTTAATTTGTAGGGATCACAAATGTCCCATGTCCTGCTTTATACATTTATGAAAGTGCCGTCTGTGGACACAGGTACTTATTTATGTTGCGCGATTCTGCATGAGGCGTTAGGAGAAAATATTCTTCTGTAACTTACGGACAAATGTACGGCTGGGGTTGTTGCAGAGTCCCAGCACCGTGCACACGGTCTTGGGGTCGGCCTGCTGCACCAGAAGCTCAATGATGGCCGAGCCGTAGGTCTCGATCAGGTCCTTACACTGGGCGGTCAAAGTCTTAGGCAGAATTGTGCACACCTTCTCCACAGCCTGAACCACCTCCTCCTAAAAAAACAAAAAAAGAAAGAGACGGTGGTTCAGCTTACAGTCAGAGTCGTTTTATCTTGTGTACAGAACAAGCAGTGTTTGTCTCCTGTTTGATTTGAATTCAATTCTGATAGAGGAGCTGCAATTTAACAAAGTGTTGATACAGAGGAAGGACATGGATGTGTTGCCAAAAGAGGTCACAACCCTTACATATTATAACACCTTTAAATGTACAAGTTAATTCAAATATAAACCGTTCATATTGCACTACAGACATGGTTTGTCTTTTATATTGTGTTTTCATAACCCTCTAAAAAAAAAAAAATACTCTAGGTTGTGAAGGTCAGAGGGGAATAAAAAAAAAAAAAAGATTTACAATGAAATATCTGTTTTTAACTTTCAAATAGATTAAAGGAGACACATAGACTCTCTTTTCCCAGCACTGTAGAGCAGCCTCCCCTGGTAGCCCTGCAGCGTTCTGCCCCACCGAGGGCTTCCAGAAGACAGTGGGCACACGGGGAGGGGGGCTGACTCGTGCAAAGCTACTCTACAGGTTTCACAGACTGACAACATGAAAGGTGATCATGATCGGCCTACGTGCAGTTTTAACAGGTGTGCTGAACTTGAATTCACTTCAGAGCTAAGTGGGATACATGTAGCAGATCAAAACTCACCTCTGTTGTCTGATCCTCCAACATGGTCTCCACCTCTTTCATCACAAACTCACAGATGCTGCACCTTGGGGAATCACGGACACGCACCATGCGCTGGAAGGCAGAGAGGCAGATCATGATTTTTTTACTTTGTATTAATAAGTACGGGTGAAAGTGAGCGGTCTAGATTCTCAAACAGACTTACCTTAGCTGACTTGTCAGTAGCAGGCTGCACCTTTGTAGCGGGGACGAGCTTGAGAGCGGGCACGGCGTTGGCAGCAGCGGGCACTGTCTTGGCGGCAGGTACGGTCTTGGCAGGCTGCAGCATCATCATGGGAAGAGACTTCATCTCGGCACAGAAACCAGCGTGGGCACAAATGTCTTTAGGTTGCTGAGGACAGAAAAACAGAGAATTAAACTTACTAGGATAAACAGCACAAACTGTCCATACCAAAACTTTCTTCACTACATGCTGTTAGCATCAAACACATGCTTTTAAATCTGCACACCATAACCACCCATGTAATATGCACAAGTCTGATAAAAACAGACGTCTAATACAGCTTCCTTTTACCAGTATTTAACACAGATGCACACCCATACTGGTAAAAAAGAGAAGCAGTGTCAAAGCAGTGTCAAAAAAAAAAACAGCCAAATAACAAAATAAAGATGGTGCTGCATTTATGGGGATTAACTTCAATGTTAGTAAAAGTGTATCTTCCAGTTGAGACAACTGTGCAAACTAAGTCGATCGGAGCATACTCTAAATATGTCACCACTGTAAGCTCATCGTTTGCAGAAGAACAGGAGAGGATCTTTATGCTGTCCTTCAGTACAGTGTGTTTAGGTTAAGTTAGGACGTCTCAAATCATGACCAGTTGATCACAGCTATGAGGTGAGTAGCGGTTAACACAGATGTGCACGAGAAGCAACAAGCTAAGGGTTAATAGGCTACAGGATGAACACAGAAAAGACCTACCTGTTCCTGGGAAGCAGCACACAAAAAAAGAACCCAGAGCAGGAGAAAAAACAGAGCGAGACAAAATGAATGAAGGGGGAGAAAAAAAGTCACACGAGCAAAAAAAATAATAATAAAGATGAAGAAAAGAAAGCAATCAAAAGATGAGAATAAACTGATGTCAGCAGGCCAGGGTCACTGCAAGACTGGGCATGAGCATAGCACGCATCATCAGGCGTATTAGTTTTAACGACTACTTCATCAAAGCTCCTGTGAGGACGTCTGGTTGCTGATCTCGTCATGTACATGTGAACAGTTTTTATGTGATCAGCTCTGCAACTCTTCAAATTGTTTTGATTTTCTACTTGATGCATAATTGGATCATCATGCTTAGCATCCATGTACACAGTTGAGTTGGATCTCAATGATTTTGATGATCAACTTACTTTTTTGTCAATAACTTTTCTGCACTCTTGTAAAGCACTTTGAACTGCAATTGAATTTGTCTGAAAGGTGCTATATGAATAAAGTTTGACTGATTGAATCAGAGCGATCTTCAGGTAGAAAATATATTTTGTTTATTATGTAAACACAGCTGGTGTCTTTTTGAACTTGGACGATCTTCTTGTTGTGTCAGGGCTTTTACAGTACGAGCACTTTGAACACTCTTGTCCCCGACGGTCTTGCTTGCATATTTGTGTGGACTCATAATTATCAAACATCAAACTCCTCACAGGAGCTTTAATTTACTCACTGATTGGAATGAAATACCAGTTCAAATTATACGTCAACTTAAATTTCAAACAAAGGTTTTCCTCTGTGAAGTGCATGAAGTTGGCGGGTTAGAGGACTCACCATGGACATGAGCTGCTGCACAACAAGTGAGCCGTACTCGCTGATGTACTCCTTGCACTGTAGAGAGAGAATCAGATGATTAAATATGCAACATTTATCAAGAGGAAAAAACTGAAAAACCCTGAAGAAAAAAGTGGCCCATACCATTTCAGACAGGCCTTGTCCCAGCAGGTCGCACTGGTTTTCAATATTCATAATGAGAGTGTCGATGAAGGTTGTGTTGCTCTTGGCCTCCGCTTGAGCGTCAGTCAGGAACTTGATGCAGTCCTCGCACACGTCGCCATCTTCCTACAAGGAGGGGAAAGATTCAGGGTCAACACGATGTCAACATTAATCATAACAGGTGGAGAACACGCTGCTGTTCATGGAGGTGAGGCGAGGAGAACAACAAGTGTACCTGCTTGGAAGCCTCTGGTTTTGGAGTGTCCTTTTTGAGGCTCTCCTGAGGATAGAGGAGCCCGGGCACGTTGAGGAGGAACGGAGCGACACGCTGGGAGAGGTCGACCTGAGGGATTTCATTGGACATGAGCTGCTCCTTAGCGTGGAACTTAGCCAGAGCTTCCTGCTCAGACTTACACAGCCCCAAGGCTCCGCACACTGCAGCGGGATCCTCCTAAAACGAACACACAACTTTAAGTTAATTCAGTTAAATGTACGTTTGTAAATCTCACCTTGTAGCCGATACTTTCCTAAAAATCCTCGTATAGATGCTAGATCCATTCCCATATTGGTCCGAACAAACAAACGCTGTGGAAGTACTTTTTTTGTTCTCTGACTGGTAGTGGTCTTAGAACGCTACGAGCCCAGTGCATTCTGGGTCTTGAAGTATTTGAAGCCTTTTGGGAAGAAGGGAATTACGCAGCCTGTTTTTCTGTTATTTCTCTGGGAGGAAAAGAGTCACCTGTCTACTGCATGCACAGTCTAGTTTCATAACAAGTCAATGTTCTCACTCAGGTTTTCGTTTTTGAGTTATTCACGTAGCGCTGAGAGGACCATGGCGTCTCTGAAGTCTGAGCGCATGTGCTGCGTACCTTCATTCTGTTTCTCAGTAACATTCTCCCTCTCTCAATTTCTTAGAATTTATCTTTTTACGCCCATCATTCCTCACACTCTCTCCCAATTTCCTAGTCTATCCACTGTCCTATCAAAAAAAGGCAAAAGCCCACTGTTTGCATTTGAAAGATGGTCTTTGAGGGCTCGCCATCTTCGGACATTACGCTCTGTAGCGCCATATTTCTTGGCTGTGTTGAAAGATCAGAAAGAGTTATGCAATTGTTGAATTTGTTTTTACGATACATGTTCTTTTATTATCATTTAATTCATATGGCATAACTATTTTTTTTCCCCCCCTTTCTTTTACATATCCTGTCAATCATGCACACATCCGAGGTGCCTGTGCACCTGTGAGGTCAGGGTAAGTGTGCCATACTTTGAGCAAAACCACATACAAGCTCGTAGGTGTATAGCGTTTCTGCGTATCTGCTCGGTTCACGGTCTTCGAGCTAAAACCACATGAACTTGTAGAAAAGTTGACCGGGGCTCTTTTTTTATTTCTCTAGAGGACTCCACGTCACTCTGACTTTTAAATCCCCGTTTTGGGACTTAGTCTCTGAGACCAAGATCTTTTAAAACCTCAAGTGTCTACACTCTCAGGTTTAGACTCTCTGGGGTTAATCTAGAGTCCTAAACCAGGGGTTACTCTTGAATCTAATTATTCTAGAAATGAACATTAGGCAGATAATCCTAGGGCTGTTATTATAACTTGTTCATCCGTCCTCCAAATGTTAGCGGAGTAATTTTACATAGCTCCTTCCACTAGGAAAGAGTAGAGTAGCCGGTTGGTAGGGAGCGAGCTCTCATTTAGTTAGAGGAAAGAGTAGTCTAGTTAACTAATGGGTGGTGAGCTTCTGTTAGCTATAGTAAAGTTATTCACCCCTTTTTGCATGTCCAGGACATGCTACAACTGCTTGACAGTTCTTTAACTTCCTGCTGCTTTGAGAAACATTTCCTGAAAATGTGCTTCTTAACTTTCCCTCCGCTGACCTCCCTCTGAGCCAATTTGTTCCAACAATCACCAGAATCTCTCTTTCATTCCCCTTAGCGCTGTAGATGTGAAAGTATTTAGACATTAAAAAGTCTATAGTAGACTTCTATTTGGACCAATATGGTAAATTAAGACGTGTACAGGATACTGAACTTTCATGTTGAAGAAGGATCTGAAAGAAGCGTCTCCTCTGTTCCCAGTGTTTCAGTCGCAGGTGAGAGAGTTGAAACAAAGAAATCTACAGCCAGTGCTCCCAGTCATGAGGATCAGCGTTACACAATGACTACTCTGTTCCCGTTCAGACATGGACTCACTTCCCCATCAATAGTCCCGATTCAGCTCGCTGCACTTTGCTCACAGCCTCTTGTTCTGCCTTCTTTTTACAGCGGGGGCAGATAGACCTTCTACTAAAGAGTCTCTGATGAAGCGGAACGATAAACTGCCACATAAATCAAACTCTAGAAAGCTTATTAAAATATTTGGCACAGCTTGTTTACAGCTACAGAACATCTCGGAGTGGCACCATTAGAGGGGAACACGTGTTTGACCCTGGACTTTGCACCGCAGGTTTTAAATCTATATTTAAAAAAGGGAAGAACCAAAAAACAGCTCGGGCTGACAGGGCTCACCAGCTCTCCGGTAATGATTCCGATGAGGATGGGGTAGTAGCTATCCACCATCTCCTTACACTCTGCAGTCAGACTCTGATCGGGAATGAGCTGGCAGGCCTTCTCCAGATATCCAAGAACCTCCGCCTGCAACCACAGAAGTCGTTGGGTATCAGTCTTTTTCAAAAAGGCAGCGTGTCTCAGTCTTTGTTTAGAGGCATGAACTTCACAGGTGATGAATCTTAATCTTACCTCAGTGGCATTGTCCTTCAGTAACTGGCCCACAACCATCAGCACCTCTTTGCACAGGTCACATGGCACAGTTTTCTGAAACCAGAGAAGATGCTGTGTTAATAGAAAAACATTAAATAAAAATCAAATTTGAGGCGCTGGTGCCATAAAATATCTGACATTTTTGCTTTATAAGAGCAGTATGTAAGATGTGTAGTGAGTGAAAGGTATCTTACTATCTGATCAGACATTAAGGAAACATGCTATGTTGAAGTGCTGGCTTCTCTGACAACAATGCAGCAGCCAGTATGTCCTCCTTCTAACTTTAGATTCTGCTCCTGAATGCTCTGGATTTGTTTGGACCAGAGAAGGTAGGCGCTTTTAAGACACCCCCCCACACGGCCGTTTTGGACGCCCCTCGGTTTGTCAGATATGAGAGCAGTTATCAGGTCAAACCAACAAGAGAAGTGGTTCAGATAGAAGTGATTGTACCCGACCTAAAAAGCCTCTGCATGTTTCTAATAAGCTCCACGAGCAGAAACGTGCTCAAACTAGGATCAATATTGGAGATGCTTTTGAAAAATGGAGAGAGGTTAGAACACAGAAAGGTTTACAGACCCATGCAGAGCTGGATAAACACTGAAGCTTCAGAGTCCACCACATGGTGACCTGTGTGAGCATGGACTCTAGAGAGGAGGGGGAGACAGCTCTCTACAATGTTTTGAATTTGGACTGCAGTACCCATTTTAAACACTAGCGGTCAGAGTAACTTATTGCACCTTTAAAGAACACTGATATTAACAACTCTTTAAAATGAAAGAAGACTCACCATCTGAGGCTTGTTCCAGACATTCTGCGTGCAGTGAGGCACAGCGCCGCACAGAGACGCCGTCTTCACATTCTGACACCAGTAGGGGGGGCCGCGGGCACACTGCTCAGTGCCGAGCAGAGGGGTTGCTACGGCTGTGAAGTAGACAAAGAGTCACATGTCAAAACCATGAAGAGTATATTGGAAAGCAGAAATTACACATTTTTAAAAGGTTAAAGTTGATAATAAGGCACCAACAAAATGTTCTTTAACACTACAGATTGATTTGTTTCTGCACCTCTTCATTTGACTTTTCCCAGCTTTCTACTTAGCGTTTGGTGTCGACCACACCTTCAGTTCACTGTTTGGTGTTGGCAGTGACCACCAGTTGGGGGATTTTCAACACTCAGATACTTCCTCAAACATTACAATAGGAGGAAGTCGATAAAGAAAGTACTTTCAAAAATGTGACTGGAATACAGGTTTATTTCTTCAAAAAAACTCCAGGACAGTGGATAGTCAGAAATTAGGCTACAGGTCGGATTCAAACCCGGGCCGCCCGCTTGGAGGACTACAGCCTCCATACAGGAAGCACCACCTAACTACTAGGCTACCTGCCTGCTCTTTTATACAACCAGAACTTGGTACCTTAAAACTACCAAGTAATCAGAAACAACAGCCAACATTTCGTACAGAAGATGTTTCAAAACAAACCGAGCCTACTTTAGAGAAAAACATTTTTTCAAAGTACCTCGCCTGTCTGTCTCTTAGGCCTCGTCCACACGTAGGCGAGTACATTTAAAAACGCTGGATTTTCTGTGCGTTTTGGCCTTTTAGTGCACAGACTGTGTTTTAGGTCACTGAAAATGCCCCTTTTATGTAAAACTCATTCCAGAGTTAAGATTACACAAAAACACCTTAAACTGAGTTTTTGACAGACGAGGAAAACAAGAGTTCCGTTCTTGTAATGTCACGATGTGCGCCGGTTTCTCCTCCGTTTGACGTCATTATGAGACGCTGTCACTTTTGTTTACATGAGATTAGAGCAATGGCAGATGTAATCAACATTTTGGCAAGTCAAGGACCTTGTTGTTGACTTGGCGTGCTCATGACAGTCGTCGTAACATTTCCTTTTCAGTTTTCATGCGAACAAAGAAGTTTTTGAAAACTCTTGGACCTCAGCCTATGTGTGGACTCTGCCTTATAGGGAAGGTCGAACAGATAATTAAAATTGTCACAGAGACAAAGTCAAGCATCTGCTATGCCAGTGAGTTCCTGCCCTGTTTCAGCCTCACTGATCAGAACCAACCGAGTGCGACGACGGGAGAAAGTAAAATTTATCGTCCCTTTGTCTTGTGCCCTCAGAGAAAGCAAATCAGTGGTGCCGCTCTTCAAGCTTCTCTACATCTGGCAGATTTCCGAGCACCAACCACCAGAAATGTGCCCGTCCATGTTGGTGATCAACCAACAGACCAAGATCAGACATGGCAGGGGAAATCTAAAATGTACATTTGCTTCACAGCTGCAGACACGAGGTACTGGTGGTAATTTAGGCATTTATTCAAATATATCATTAATAGCTCAGTGCACTGGAGAGAAGCTGTAGGCTGGTTTTTAAAAGTGCACTATGTTGTTTCAGGGTTCAGCCAAAGCACAGATGAGGCAGAGCAACTCCTGTAGAATACCTGCAGCTGGTTAGCACATACCTGTGGCTGATAGTTTAGTTTAAGGCATGTGGATAAACCCATGAAGGCATTTCCATTGTCTGTCTACTCACCGTTATATTGAATAGTTTCTGCTGATAATATGTCTACACTCATGCACTTTAACTTATGTCAATACTGTCCATTTACGACTCTGTTTTTGCACATTTACATTTAATCTTTCATATTGAATCTTCCTATTTAAGACTAGTAATGCTTAGTTAAATCCTGGTTGTATATATATTCACATTCTTATTTTTGATATTTATAGTACTTATTTACTTTGTATTTAATATTATATTGTGTTTAGATTTGCTAACATTGTGTTTTTTGCTCATATTATGTGTTTGGATAACCTGCTGCTGTAACGCCACAATTTCCCAGTTTGGGATCAATAAAGTAATTCTATATCTTTAGGGATATGCAGCTCGACTGCATCAGTAGGACTTTTCCTCCGTGCCCCTTCCTTGTCATGCGATGGGAAAATGGTTCGACTAATGCCAGCTGCTTTTATAGGGAGGCGTTTTTGGACAGTAGTGGTCGTTGCATCTCACAGTGACACACATTTCTCCCACTCGACTGAATGCTTCTGTTTGAGATGTTGATGTTACCTTTAGCTGCAGCGACTTTGAACATACTTTGCAGTGGACTGAAAAAAAAACATGAACTCAGAATACACTGATGAGTTGGGCTGGGAATCTTTGGGTGTCTCATGAGTCGATTCGATTCAAAGTCTATTTTTGAATGAGTCCATACTTCAGGATCTACTCCAGTCCTCTGTGAAACTGGCTGAATTTCTTGCAGCTCCATTTGGCTTTCTACTGAGTTAAAGAGCTAGCTTTAGCACTTAGCAGGGAGTGACTGATTAGCCTGAAAAAATATTATTTTTGGAAGTTGTGAATCAATTTAAAACTCAGGAGATAAGAATCTATTTTCTTAAGATCTATTTTCGATAAGAATTGGCAATGTAGGTCAAGCAAAAACCTTCAAATCCCCCAGTAACACCGCTGAGAGAGACCCCTACTGCCCATCAGTCATACCCAGTGTTACAGTGCAGCAGCAGGGCCCTCCCCTCCCCCCCCCCACCCCCCCTCCACTGGAGTCACATGAGCAGTCAGACAAAATAACAAGCTGTTTTCAAGAGGACAGACTGTACCAATGAGGAAGAAATCTCTGCACATATGCAATAAACTATTTACAGCCAACAAGGTGACACAGCAGCAGAAAATCTATGTTCCATATGTTCCACTTGTTTTATGTAACTGCCTAAAACAGAACAACAAGGCAGTAGTCAGACAAAGAATGCAGTGACATCTAAAGGCTTATACATGACTCACTTTCTGTTACAACAATTCTAATACAGAAAAGTCATCATAAAGCGAGTGAATCAAAATCACATGACACGGTGAAGCGCAAACAGCTTTAAATAGGACTCACATTTCATTGTTCAACGCCCGCAAGTGAACCATGAAACAGTTTCAGTGTAGCAGCCTACACATCAGTTTTTACACAACGACCAAAGATAAGCAGAAAGTTTACATAAAAAGTTGTTGAATAAAAGACAAGTCTCAAGCTTAGAACATGTCATGCCCACTGTAGGATTGTCACCAGAAAACACATGCAAGAATGTGAGTTATACAAAAACTAAACAAAAAAACAGACTGGAGATAAGAAACTAAACACACAAAGCTCAAATATCATGACTTGGAGAAGCTAATGTTGTCAGTAGGAGTTCAAGAATCCACATCCTGTGCTCTGATTAGAAGTAATACATGACCATTATAGTTAAGTTAAAGAATAACCAGCCTAGATGAGAAGTTCTGCGCAAGTTTATTGCCTTTAGATGAACAAAGAGAAGTGTTAACTAAACTCAGTAAAGAGGAACAGCAACCGAAACCACTAACGCCTCACTTTAAAAAGCTGAAATGAAAGTTCATGGTTTTTGAGGGAGGTATTTAGACTTCCTAATAAAACCCTAACAAGAGGCCAAACAAGCCATGAAATCCCCTTACATTCACGTACATCTCAGATACTCGGAATTTCAGAATAATTAAGTTTATCTACTTAACTGTTTGGACCAGCTTCACAACGTGATGTGGAGAGAAAGTAAGAATACATATATTTTAATGCTCAGAACTAAACTAGGTCACTCATTCTACATGATCAGCAACTAACAGTTAAAAGTTAAGTCCGTGCTAAATGTGCGTAATGCCAACATGTTAATTTGTAATACATTAATTAATTTAAAGTTTTTCAACCAACAAGTCAACGTTTTCTTCAATCAGTCAAGAAAGTATGATCATTTTCTAGGACTACTCATGTGTTGTTTTGACTTAATGTGGCCTTCAGGTGAATTGTCCCGGTTTAAAAAAACTAATTTTTCCGATTATTTCGCCCCCACCTGAACGCATAGTTAGTTTGTGAAAACAGAACGAAGGGGGATTAGCGTAAGAAAACAGCCTAAATTGACGTTAAACATCACGCAAAATATCTCTCATGTGCCTGTTAGCTAGCTGTCCAGTTTAATTAAAATGTTTCTCAATATATACACAACTAAAAAAATTGAATTAGGCTCTTTATTATGATAATGTCATAATATTTAGGTAGCCGACTAGCTTTAGCTTTAGCGGCTAATGTTAGCCGTGCGGGCTAACAATAACGCCTTCAAACGTCAGAGGAGAAGCTTTACTTAATAACAAATCTGTATTTAATTATCTGATTGAAAGAGAATTGGTCGTAATAATACAGCAGCATGATTAACGTTGTGTTTAATAACGTAATGAGTTAGCACCTTGTTGTTTTCACGCTTCAAACAGCTTCCGTGTTGAAACGCAGTTTGTTCCACAACAACATTTAAAACATTTAAAACATTTAAAACATTTAATGTGACAAACGAGCGACTGAAGGTTTAAATTAAACACCTTTTAAAATGTGTTGTCGTTACCTGAGGACACGAAGAGTAGAGTTAGGAGCAGCATGACTCCGCTGTTTCCCTGTAGTTTGTGTCTGGAGGATCTCTGTGCTGAAGAGGGGGGGAGGCTGTGATGAAGAGGGGGGAGAGGCTGTGACGAAGAGGGGGGGAGGCTGGTCTCTTTATGAAGTCTCACCGTCAGCTGACTCCTGACAGAGACACGTGACTCAGTCTGATCTCATGGTTTAGTTTCAAACATCTAAAGTACATTCAGCCAATCAAGTAAAAAATATTTAAAAATAACTCTCTAAATTATTCATTTATTTATTTATATATTACCAATTTTAAATAATTAATGACACATTTAAATAATTATTTTTTTTTTTTAATAACACATGCATTTAATTCATTAAATAATTATATTTGTATTTATATATTTGTTGATTTATTACCAATTTTAAATAATTAATGACACATTTAAATAATTATTTACTTATTTAATTTATTTAATAACACATGCATTTAATTAATTAAATAATTATATATTTATTTATAAATTTGTTGATTTATTTCCAATATTAAATAATTGATGACACATTTAAATACTTATTTAATTATTTAATAACACATGCATTTAATTAATTAAATAATTATATATTTATTTATATATTTGTTGATTTATTTCCAATATTAAATAATTGATGACACGTTTAATGATTTAATTAATTATATATTTTTTTCATTTTGGCACCTTTAGTCCTCCATATCAAACGGCCATTATAATTAAATTAAAAACACACATTTTATTTTTTATATATATTCCAATTACCTTATACCCAAAATGCGCTTCTTGCCATGTAGCCTACATAGTCTCGTTTTCAATCATACTTTTTGATTGAAAATGACTTAAACCTAATATGTTATAGCAGGGGTTCCTTAACTTTTCCCCCAAAATAAGGGTGCCAGAGACTTGGGACCCACCCATAAGACCTTTGAACACAAAAAAATAATCCCTCCATTCCCCCTCAAACCCCCACACAGGACTACCTCACTGGACTGTAAAATACAATATAACATACATCACAAACGTGCAATATATTTATCTGTATAGGAATTTTATACATAGCTTTTCTTTTTATATCTATTTATATCTGCACCTTATTTTTCTATGTGAATACTTGCTGCTGTTTTTATGCTGTACTACAACGAGCCAAATGCAACAAAATGTTGTTCTTATCTCCTCTGTAAAGTACAAGTTTGAATGACAATAAAGAAAGTCTAAGTCTAAGTCAATATATTGGGCCCTCTAACGATAACCAACCGGCCGTCTGAGCTTTTTGAAAATAAATAAATGTATATTTGTGGCTGCATGGTGGTGCAGTGGTTAGCACTGTCCTCTCACAGCGAGGAGGTTACTGGTTTGCTCGTTAGGTTAACTGGTGACTCTAAATGTCAGTGTGACGTCTTATATTATTACGTCTAATTATTACAAAAACATTTGTATCGGTCCTTTTTAAATACTTTGTGAATGTATCCTTTACTTATTGTGTTTTATTGCTCTTAATCTTGTGATTATTCCTCTAATGTTTTTAATCTTCTGTCCTCTTTTGTTTTTGTATATCAGGGATTAATAATAAAGTGTAGCAGAATGTATCCCTTTTTAACCTCATTGTAGTTTTATTTCCTGTTATGTGATGGTGATATTATCGTCTTCCTCTTCTTCTTCATAGTTAACCAATAACCTGCCTGTTGTATCTTTTTTTTCTTTTAGTTTCCTTTTTTTAGACTCCTGTGTGTTTGTCCTGACTGCTCGTGTTTGTTGTGTTGTTGTCCTGAGGTCATGCCTTTGTTTTGTCTGTGTAAACACTTTGTAAACATTAATATCACATTATTATTAGCAGCAGGAGAAGATGTAGGAGCCTCGTGTTTGTACGGCTCCCGGTTAAACATCACATCACCTTTAAAATTCTGCTCCTCACCTTCAAGGCCGTCTACAACCTCGCCCCGCTTTACCGTTCTGAACCCCTCCCCCCCCGCCCCCAACTCTCAGGTCTTCTTCCATTCAACTCACTGCACCGCCCGCCTGTCCACCATGGGGGTCCAGGGCCTTCAGCTGCTGTGCCCCCCCCCACCACAAATCTGTAATATCAACTCTCTCTTCATTTTCAAATCTCATCTCAAAACAAATCTTTTTTAAACATTCAGTCCGATCGTTCTCCAGGTCTCATAACTCCTCTACATCCTGTACACACGTTGTCTTGTTACTTTGTTGTTTTTATGATAATTTCATGATAAGATCTGTCTCTCCATACTGTCATCTGTTAATATACAATAAATAAATGTATATTTGTGGCTGCATGGTGGTGCAGTGGTTAGCACTGTCCTCTCACAGCGAGGAGGTTACTGGTTTGCTCGTTAGGTTAACTGGTGACTCTAAATGTCAGTGTGGCTGGTTGTCTGTCTCTATACGTCAGCCCTGTGATTGGCTGGCGACCAGTCCAGGGTGTAACCCCGCCTCTCGCCCAGCTGGAATCGTCTCCAGCCCCTGTGACCCTGAACAGGAAAAGCAGTGTAGATAATGGATGGATATTTTATATTGTTGTTTTTGTTCTGTTATTAATAATGTTGCTATGAAAATTACTGCAATTCTGGTTTCAGCACGGCAACTAAAGTGTTAGCTTTAATTGTTACAGGTAAAAATCTAAATGGCAATTTGTGTTTAAAAGAAAATGCATTTTATGATTTTTTTTGTTTGTTTAACTTTTTATGCGTTGTTTTCTTCCCTTTATCATGTTATATGCTATCAAAATAAAGTTGAGTTGAGTAAATATTAAAAAAGGCAACCTACTTTCTACCTGTGTAAAAGTGTTACCTTAAATAAAGCTTATTTCATAAATGTACGACATGTTTACTGCTCGTTTGGATTACGAAGCAAAGGTTAACTTACTTCACATAAAAACCTTTCAGCCTTCTTCTAGAGAACACTTTAAATCTGTTATGTCATCTTTCTTTAGAAGCTCGATGGCTGCAGTGTTTTGGGGGCGCAGATAGCCTAGCGGTTATGTTGAGCGCCCCATGTACAGAGGCAGCGGTCATGGGTTTGAATCCAACCTTTGCTGCATGTCACCCCCCCCCCACCCCGCTCTCTCCTCCCCACACTTCCTGTCTCTCTTCAGAGAATAAGGCCTAAAAATATATTTTAACAAGTAGTCAAGACAAACTTGCATCCACCATAGAAAAAAAAAAAAGAGTTTATTACAACATGACATCCAAATGAAAATCAGAAACTATGGTACAGGTCAAAGAGGGAAGCGTCTCACTGATGACCTCCTGGATACGAGCTGTGAAGCCTGAAAAACAAGAAGAAGAACAAGCGTTACATGAGGTTAAGTTAGAGCAGCGTCAGCACGCCGTGATCTCCATAAAGAGAAGTACTGAACCCGTTTAACGAGACATGGAAGGTTAAACTGACTGCATCTCAGAGGCTGCCTCTTTTCTCAACACAGAAAAGTACTGGACTTAAAATATGTGAAATAATGTCTTATCAGCTTTAGGGCGGCAGTAGATCAGGTTGGGAACCGGAGGGTTACCGGTTCAAGTCCTGATGCGGACCATAATATGGAAGTTGGTCTGGTAGCTGGAGAGGGCTTCACTTCCAGAGCACTGCCGAGGTGCCCTTAAGCAAAGCACTAAACCCCCAACAGCTCTGCTGTGCCCCCTGTGTAGCAGCCCCCCCCCCACTCTGACATCTCTCCATTAATGCATATTCACAGATCCTGTCTGTACATGTGTGATTCAGGTCTGTGTGTGTGTGTGACGAGCATGTCTCTAAATAAAAAAAGCGTAGAATCCAGAATTTCCCTCAGGAATGTAAAAATATTTATTTTTAAATTAAAAGTGTTTTTTGGCCACAAACAGACAAAATGATGGTAAACAAAAATTGACAACTTCTGATGCATAAACTTCAGCAAAAAAATATTTGTAACTTAAAATACCAAAGATGATGACGGTAAAGCAACACTGCTTCTATATGAACATTAAATAGTCCCTCAAAAGTCGATTAATTATCCTTTTTTTTCCCCCAAAAAAACAAAAACTGAAAACTGTAACCTCCACCATAACTCATTATTTATTAAAACTGCAATATAATAATAATGAATAATATGTCCATGATAACAAAGTGAAATATTGAAACAAACAGTGCAATAATCTCGATGTGTGTATATATTCCATCTGACTCTTATTCATGTAAATATTTCTTGTACATATTATTGATATCTTACTTACATTCCTATTCTATTTGATTAATATTTTTATTATTATATTTCTACTGCTATATTGTATATTTAGGAGCAACTGTAACGACCGAATTTCCCTCTGGGATTAATAAAGTATTTCTGATTCTGATTCTGATTCTTTCAGATGTATCCAAAGCCCTCTGTGACGTGTTCTTTATTTGACACATGATCAGACATCCTGGCCTTGAAAGAATAAATCAAACATTCAAACATTCTCTGGTGCAGTGAGGATGTTAAAAGCTTCATCAGCGTTTTTAGATCGACTTTTCTGAACCTCTTATCAGGACTTAACGAGTTCACCCGCGTGACACTGAGGTGGATCGTAGGCGACCTTTGGCCTGGCTTTTGTTTTTTTTTCTTGCTGCAGTCACTCTTTTGTCGAATCTACAGGATGGACTGTGTCACTGTGTCAGGAATATATAATATTATAAACCAAAGCATGCTGGTTTTATTCATCATTTTGAAGGATGTCCTGATGCATCGGTTCACATGTTGATTACTTTGTAACGCGTGACCTCGAACACTGGCCATGAACCGACAGAATTATCCACACATATTTCAGAACTGTTGCCAGTGTATCAGCTAATAACTCTGTAAGAAAATCATTTCATTTTGATTTTCCAACTGTTAATTTTTTACATCATCAAAGAAAATGTCGGCAATGTGGGAGTCTGACACCAAAAAAAGTTGTGGAAAAAAAACATCTTTATCATTATCGACAATCAGCTAAATTATTACAAAAACATTTGTATCGGTCCTGATCTTCACAAACATTTTAAACTCAAGGGCTCTTTAGTCAGTCAGATCATGTGGCTCCCTGTCAGTTTTAGAACAGATCTTAAAATTTTACAGTTCACTTT